CAGTGAATTCGAGCTCGGTACCCTGCAGGTACAGCGAAGACATCGAGCTGGAGGACGCAATCCACACTGCGATCTTGACGCTGCGGGAAGGCTTCGAGGGGGCCTTGAATGAAAAGTCCATCGAAATTGGAATTATCGGGGAAGACCGAAAGTTCCGCGTCCTCACTCCCGCAGAAGTGAAGGACTACCTCAGTGAGGTCGAAGTCGGCTCTCCCTGACCAGCTGTACGTACCGCTCAGGTGTACGTACACTTCAGGTGTACGTACACCTGAAGTGTACGTACACTTCAGTGTACGTACAGCTGGTCAGGCAGTGCCGACTTCGACCTCACTCAAGTAGTCCTTCACTTCTGCGGGAGTGAGGACGCGGAACTTTCGGTCTTCCCCGATAATTCCAATTTCGATGGACTTTTCATTCAAGGCCCCCTCGAAGCCTTCCCGCAGCGTCAAGATCGCAGTGTGGATTGCGTCCTCCAGCTCGATGTCTTCGCTGTACCTGCAGCGGCAGCAGCAGCAGCAGCAGCAGCAGCGGCAGCAGCAGCAGCAGTTTTTGAGGGCGGAAAAAGGCCATTTCGACTCATTTTTTCTGGAGCCGAGCTGTACGTACACCCCAGCTGCGCCGCGCACCCCGAAGCCTCAACCGGAAGAATAAACTCCTCCACTTTTTAAACTTCGTCACTTTCAAACTACTTCATTTTTAATTACCTTTTTTCCAAAAAGGTCTTCGCGTTCTGCATGTCCCGGCCTATCGCCGAGGCCTTCCACCCAAAATAAGCCCCGCTGGGATCCACCTGGTACAGCTGCGGCCCGAAGTCGTCGTAGCTGCAGCAGCAGCAGCAGCAGCAGCAGCAGCAGCAGTTTGCAAATCACCAACACCCTACACACCCAGCAGCTAGCTAGCCAGCTAGCTAGCCAGCTAGCTAGCTGTTGGCTGGCCGGCAGCCGGCCCACCCCGGCGAGCCAGCTAGCTCTCTAGCTAGCTAGCCAGCCACCTACGCCGGCTAGCCCCCAGCCAGCCAGCCAGCCAGCCAGCCAGCCAGCCAGCTAGCTAGCTAGCTAGCTAGCTAGCTAGCTGGGCGCGCACCCCGCGACTAAGAGAGATATGCCGAAGGGGCGGACTCCGCCGCTCTGGGTGTACTCCTGCATGACGGAGGCGACGCTCTGGACCAGCTGCTGCGTCGGCATGGGGGTTTTGTAGTAGAGTTCGTAGGCAGCAGCCTGTGCGCAGCAGCAGCAGCAGCAGCAGCAGCAACTGAGCTGCAGCAGCAGCAGCAGCGGCACTGCTGCAGCGGCAGCAGCAGCAGCTGAACTGCTCCTGCGGCGGGATTGCTGCTGCGGGATTGCAGCAGCAGCAGCAGCAACTGAACTGCTGCAGCAGCAGCAACGGGTTTGCGCCAGCAGCAGCAGCAGCAGCTGAACTGCTCCTGCGGCAGCAGCAGTGGGATTGCTGCAGCAGCAGCAGCAACTGAACTGCGGCGGCAGCAGCAGCAGGACTGCAGGAGCAGCAGCAGCAGCTGAGCTGCTGCAGCTGCTGCAGCAGCAGCAGAAGAAAGCTGCTGGTGCCGCGCGCTCCTTGCGCGCCTTTTCAAGGCCAGCAGCAGCCCCGCGTTTGCTGCTTTCCGGGAAAAGGGCAAGTGCCTTTTGCTGCAGGAGCTCCCTGACCAGTGGTCTGGTCACCTGCTGCTGAAGGCCGCCAGCTTTCGACTGCGTTCAAGTTTTGAGTTCAACTTCAAAAGTGTCTGCACTTTGGAGGCCTCAGTGCGTTTCTCGAGCAGCAAGAAAGCGGCTCGCCACTGACACCCTGCTGCTGCTGCTGCTGCCGCTGCTGCTGCTGCTGCTGCTGCAGGCGCGGCTCACTTCCTTGCGGCCTTTCTTGAGGACGACGCGGAAGTCCGCGGGCATGCCCGCGAAGACGCAGCCGACGGAAGGCGTGAAGGAGTCCACTTTGGGAATTGTGTTTGCGTCAATTAAAGGAGTTGGAAGTTTTTTTTCTGCGGCCAAGACGACGCCGTTTCGGGCTTTGATGCCGAGGGCGGGCGCGCCCTGCTGCACGCGGTTGAGCGCGTATTCAATTTGCACGAGCTTTCCGCTCGGCGAAAACGTGGTCAGGCTGAAGGAATACTGTCCCTCCGCCATTTTCCGACTCCGAAATGAATTAAAAATCAAAAATGCGGTTTTTCCGACGCCCGAAACTCCTGTTCAACTTCCAGAACGCGCAATCGCCAGTGCCGCCGCCGCGCGCCCGGCCCGCCGCCTCGTGTGCTCAGGTGTACGTACACCCCAGACCCAATTTCGCAAAACGCGCAAACGGCGCTTCGCCACTTTTGTTTTTCTTCACTTTGCAGCCGGGGGGTGCATGCGCGAGCCACTGCTACGGAGTCCGCTTCATTTCACAACGCAGCCGGCCCCGCCTCAGTTTCAACTTTTGCAAATTTATTATTTTCCTTTTCTTTCCACTTCTGCAAACCCGCGGAGGTTCCCGAGACACCGCAGCAGCAGCGCCTGCAGCCCCGTCGACAGCTGAGCGGCTGCGCTGCCGCCGCGGACTTGAACACCGAAGCTGCGATTCACACTTCTGAATACCCCAAAGTTGAATTTTATTTCGCCATTATGTTACTTTTGCTTTATTTAATCTTTCCTGCTTTCAAATTAACTCGTTTGGCGCAGGATCTCAGGCGAATAGAAGCCAAAGACGCCACTCCGAGCTGCAGACGCCGACTGCTGCTCACACCGATCCAACTCGCTGCAACAACAGCTTTCTTTCCGCAAATAAGGCAACATTAAAGTTGCATTTATCAAATTTTAGAGTTTCATGAACTCCGAGGCTCATCTTGCCTCCAACACAATCCCCCATTTAACAGCTTTCCTTCCCGCTGCTGCTGCTGCTGCTGCTGCTGCTGCTACACTTGCAAGCCTGCTGAAGTGACAGCTGGGTGTCTCTTGAGGAGCAATTTGGGTTGTTTAGAAGCAAATTATATTTATATTATTATTATCTATCTGTATATTATTAAATAAATGTTTAAGAGCAATTTAATGTTTCATTTTCTTCTTAAAAAAGTATTTTATCTCCACAAGACCTGGGGAGGAAGCTACCAACAGCAGCAACAATTTGAATCCATTTTTTCCCTTTAGAACGTTTTAATAAATATTTGCATTATTAGGGTGTATATACACCCTACAACACCCAGCAGCAGCTATTTGGAGGGCAAATGAGACAAAGATTTATCATTTTTATTCAAATTTTATTTTCTTTCCTCTTCAAATTCTCTTTTCATTTTAATTCAAACTCTCTCTTCAAAGTGGACTTGGGGGCCCCTAGTTCGGCAAATCCGCACATTTATGGAAAATAAAAAAGTTAAACAAATCCTTTCTGTGTAAAACACATTTATATATATATTATATTTATATTTATATTCATATTTATATTTATATTTATATTTATATTTACGAAGATTTCATTTGCAAAGAGAATTTGCTTCTTTTCAAATATGAGAAAAACATCCCTCCTGGATGCTGAGGGCGCAGGGGCGGCGCTGCTGCTGCGC